CCCATCGCCTTGACCGTGTATCTTTTATCAAACCCATGGACTCAATTAAATGTTATGTTAGGATACTTATGTTAGATGCTGTGCTGGACTAAGGATTAGGATGTTATGTCATCTCTTTCTTTGACTTAACAGTTGTTTTGTGCTGATTTGTTTGCTCCTGCCATACACCATGTTGTGCTTTTGGTGTGCTTATTTGTTTACTTTTTGTATGTATAGTAGTATATTAGAACAGCCTTCTGCAGAGGGCCATGCCATATATATGTACACTTACAAGTATAATTGAGGGGGAACATGTGATGATTTACATATACATTTGCTTGCGGGCGCTGCTAAACTCCCCACATAAGACATGACTCAAATATAATTACATATTTGTTGGATTTCCTGCTAACGTTGTTTTCATGCAGGTTGATTCCTTTTTTTTTGGATCTTCCTTTGTTTTTTTTTAGATTACCTAGGAGAGTCCTATATTAGAAATATGGTATGTGCATAAGTTTTGAGGTGCAATACGCATTGAAACTTAATTCAAAATACGATACTGGCACGGGGACCAAGAGTAGCAAGCTCATGACTCATACCTTAATTTTAAATCTCGTTCATGTATAAAATTGGGACCATATATATATTTGTAGAGCCTGAACACTTTTTCTGTGATATGTTGTCGACTCAGCAACTCCGACCTTTTATTATATTTGACTTGTTTTATCTGTTTTTCTTGCATGTTTGCAGACTTGAATTGTTTTCATTGTTTTTTTCTGATTTGTTTGGGATGTTATGAAAATTATAATTTAGGCTCATTTAAGGAAATCAAAATGATAAATTATCTAACTAAAACATATTAATAAAAATTTCAAGACTAATTAAAATTTAGGATTAAGAGATTAAGGATTTTAAAATCTATCTTTTACTTTCCTACATAGGCTTCATGCCGATTTTTAAAATGCGTTGCATAACATGAATATATTCCAAGTCATATTAATAAAGCCTGCACACTTAGGACTTGAATAAACAACTGCATCATTTGCATGTTCCGAGGAGAAGCCCCCGTGGTTCTTCAACTTGACAGCTGATATACCTAAAATATAAAGTGTTTTTAGACACATTTTTATACATATTTTTGAGATATTGAGCTTTAATGGAAAATATTTGTGTTTTTTTCTTTCATATACAAGTAAAAAGATGACAAGTAAAAATGGAAAAAATTCTTAAATGAGTGAAAAAGAACCAAATTTGGAGCAAAAGAGGTGAAAATTGTACTAAAGTGTTTTGGTGCCTAAGCGCCGGTTAAATAGAGAAGGCCGCGCCTAAGCGCCACGGACCCGCGCTTAATCGCCAGAGGCAGTTATTTCGCGATTTTCTCCATTTGACCAAATTTTGAAAATGTATTTGATGCATCTATTGGCTAAAGAGGGTGGTTATGACCATTAAGAACTAAAATATTATTAAAAGACTTGTGAAAGGAGGCACCCTTTGGAGAATACATCGAATTTGGACACATTTTGAAGAATTATCAAGACACCTCTTGGAGATTTATAAAAGAAGGAAGTTTTTACATTTGAAGTGGGTGCTTGAAGAGGGAGAGAGTGTTGGAGTCCTGAGAAGATGATAGTGGAGAATCTTGTGGAGAGATTCAGGCACCACAAATTTACTTTATCCTTTCTATTTTTACTTTATTTTAAGAGTGTTGTAAAAGAGAAGAGATTCAAAAGAACTTCAAGAGTTTGGTGGAGGATTTGAGATAAGTTTTTATCTTTGTTTTTATACTTCTTTTGGTTTTAATCGAGATTTCTTGTTGATTTGACAAAATAATTAAAGTGTTGGATGGAAGTTGTGGAGAGTATTAATTTTTAATGTTGGAAGAAGTTGTGATTATTTAAGTCCATGAACTTCATTTACTTCTTGATTTGACCTATCCAAATGTTAAAATTTGTTGTGAGAACATGTAAGAACCAGACTGGTATTGTCTCAGTCAACAATTGGAAAAAATTACATGAGGTTGTATGAATGAGAATGTAATTCATATGATTTAGTGCAAATAAATAGAGAAATAATATTTGAAGGGTGTAGAGTTAGAAGACTTTAAAGTGACAGGTTAAAGCCCCCAACTTGGTTTATTATTTTAGGTTCTGATATGAGATGTTAGCTCCCAGGTGGAGGGAATCGAGGGAACTCTAGAGTGAGAGCTGGTATCTTCCCTGTCTAGCCGGTTTTCAGAGCTATTTAAACTTTAAATTAGCCAATATTCTTTATAACATCTCTAGTAAGGGTAAATGATATAATTGCTCTTATTTGACACAACACAATTTGCATACTACCACAACGGAATTCTTATGCTTATTACTGATCATGATAAGGAGAAATATATTTTCAAATTTAGTGATTTTCTTTTACATAAACTCAAGTTATTTTTTTAAATTGTTACTGTTTTGTCAAAATATCAAAAATACCAAATAAATTTGAATTTTAATTATTACAAATACATCTCTAGTTTAAGTAATTGTCTTTTTAAAATAAAAAGTTTTCTGTTCAATAGAGCATATTACATAATTTTCCTGTGGGTTTGGTATTGAGGCATTAATCAAAAAGTCTTATATTATTTGATAACGATACGTATACTTGCGTAGTATCACAATATATAAATTAAAGAGTTAAATTCTTATTTTCTTCAGATTAAGTTTTGACTCTGTTACAAAGTAATGAAATATAAGTGAAAATATAATCAGAGACATTGTTATAATGTTGCATATAAGCAGCATCGGGGATCAACAACCCAACATAGATTTCTACTCAGGAGGTTGTCTAACGCGCTTAAGTCATTAGAAAGCTCCCCAACTAAGACGGGGTGTTAGTCCACTTGTCGGGAGCGTTTCCAGTTTTGTAGTTGAACCACCCTTTCTCTTCCTTTCCAGGAGCATCCTCGCCACTTTAGCATGTTTAAGTCCCACCTCTGGAGCTCTACCGGATAGTCATAGGATAGACTTTCATTCCTTTGACCTTGGGTCTACCCAGGTTCCCGTGGATGACTTAATTCTCGGATTGCTGACGAGGGATCTCATGACATGTTGAGTTGACTACTTTCAAGACCAAGTAGACTTAGAGTGCTAGTAGCTTGAAATGACTGGTTTGTGTTACTCCAACCCGACAACCTCTACCTTTTAGGGATTACTCCTTTCTTCCTTTGACTACCCATATTGAGCCTTGTCTCTCTTTTTGCCTTTATTAGTATTATATCGACAACCTGATTATTGATAAGTTGCACCCATTTGGGGTACAACGATTTTTCATCTACTCTTATGACTCGGATGTGCTTTGACGTATTGAGATTCTTCTTCGGGATGATTCAGTTATTTCACAGGCTCTATATGTTGATGAGTCCGTTACCGATGCGGGGATAGCGAGAGACTCACTTTCAGCCTTGTGGCTTATCGGGAGCTTTGACAACATCAAAGTATTCCCATGTGAAAAAACTTTCATTTGATAGCCCTGTGTTAATTGTCATTACTAATATAAACTAATTTGGATAAAAAGTATTCATGGACAACCCCTAATATGTAATTAATCAAGCGTGATACATCCCATTTGGAGCACTTTGGACCCAGAACAGGCAAACCGACATAAATATCTGGTTATGAGTAGTCTACGTAAGTATTCTTTCATGGATATTGGTCTAAAGTGTCTTTGCTCAATCTTGTTTGGGTGAACATACTTGAACTATTATTATGAGGCTTATCGCATGTAAGCTCTCAAAATTTTCTTTCTCTTTATTTGTCTTCTTCGTTGTATGTCCCTACTTTTCTGGTTTCTTTCTTCTCCAAATCATTCATATGATCCAAAAGAGTGACTTATTCAGAAAAAGGAATTATACAACGATAGATAAACCGAAGACTCCTTAAAAAAAAGAAACAAAAATAGAGAGCTTTAAAATGATCCTAAGCTTAATTTTTTTTTATTAATAGAAGTTTTTTCTCTTAATTTTTCTCATGCCTTATTCTCTTCCACCAAGGCTAAACATTCCCATGAAGCCCGTGAGATGACTAAGTATTCAAATAAAATCAAGAAAAAAAATCAAATATCCTAAATAGTTCTTGAAATTTCCAAAGCATGTATTATATAAAAGTTAATGTCACTCCAACAAATAGTAAAAATATTTATTAAGGAAATGATGATAACAGAGATAAAAGATATAAATAATCAATTAAAAAATGTGATCTTGACTAGGAGTGTAAACACGCCGAACACGAGCGAGCCCAGACTCAACTCGTATTCGACTCGTTTATATTTCGAGCTCAAAAAAAGTGTTCGTGTTCGACTTGTTTGCTTAGTGAGCCGAACATGAGCAGTTCATGAACAGAGTGTCGTTTTGACAACCCTAATCACGTAGACATAAGTTGTTAAGGATTGTGATAAGATTTAAAAATTATTATTCATATTAAAACATTATTTGAATCTACTTTAATAATTTTTATTCTATTTTCTTAATTAATACTTTTAATTGAATATAAATCTTTTTAGCCTGGTCAATTATATATATATATATGAATATATATATATAATTGATGAGTAATATTTCTAGCCAAAATGAGCTTAACACGAACAAACAAATCTTTGTCCCTGTTTGGCTCGGTAATGACTCGGTAACTTAGCAAACGAGTAGAACATAAGCTTCTTAACGAGGCGAACAAAAGTTATTCGGAAACAACGGGTCATTTTGACAGCCCTAATCCTGACCTTAAGAAAATTCTACTTTTAATAAAGGGAAAAAAAAAAGTAAAGAAAGCTAAAAATAAAGTTTGCAAATTGGATCAAATCATTCATATGTTAAAAAAGCTATATATTCTTATGTAACTTTTAGTATAATTTTTACACAGATAAATAAGGAGTTACATATGCTATAACTAACAATAAAAATCAGTCAAATTATCACTATTTTGACAATTTATTTTTTCTTGTATGATTAAAGAGGATCCAAATCCACTTCCTCCCACCTCTTGGCAGAAAACTTATCTTCTCTCCCACCTCTTGCCTGGTGCCACCCCACCTGTAGCCATGCGTGAGGTGGAGCCCATGGCTGACCATGCCCTTATGTCTTACTTTCTTTATCTATTTAATGGGGCCATTTGGTCTATTGTCGCTCCATTGTCGAGCAAGAGCATAAGCAGAGGGAAAGCAGCTCTTTTCAATCTCCATACCGACGCAAGCTGTAAACCAGTGCGAAGCCAAAGCCATCCCCTTTCTTCACCCGTCTTATCAAGTGTAAACCTAAAAAGTTCACTTTTTGATCCCTTAACTTCGTTGTCGATTCGTCCATCTTCAGATCTATAAGAGCCCGTGTTCAGCATATCTTTCTAGCGTCCTTCTGTTGCTCTCCGTGTAATCAAGGTGGGTTTTTGTTTTCTGCAACTCTTTTTCTTATGTATTATGGTTTTTCTCAATGTATCTTCTCTGAGTAGAAGAAGGGGCGGGTTATTCACTTTCTTAGGAAGTTTTCCGCTTATTTGGGGAACGAGGGGTTGGATTTCTGATGCTCTGCAGTAAATCATACTGTTTGGTTTATAGTTCGTTATGCCTCTTTGTGATTCAAACTAGTAAATAGTGAAAAATTTAACTGCAAAGGGCAGCTTTGGCCTTCCCTTTCATTGTTTAAGTTCAGCAAATTCTTTTACTTTTCCTCCACTTGCAGATCTCTTCTGATTCTTTTTATTGCGTCTTATTGTACAGATTGCAGAGTTGCTCGCAAATTTTGCAAAGTTTGGTGTTTTGTAAGGTCAAAAGATTTGGGAGGCATTTCTGGCTGGGATGAGGGATGTTACCTTTGTTGATAAACTACCTGTGTACTTGCTGGCGGCCATCATCAAAGGATAAGTTAAATTTAAGCTCTGAGGCATTAAGCCGAGCAGATGGAGCTCTCTGGTACAGGGACTATGGCCACCATGCTTATGGAGAGTTCTCAATGGCTGTCGTCCAGGCTAACTTTATGCTTGAGGATCAGAGCCAGGTTGAGTCTGGTTCTCTGAGCATGCTCAATTCTGGTCCTTTTGGGACACTTGTTGGGGTTTATGATGGGCATGGGGGGCCTGAGGTCTCTCGATACATCTGTAATAATCTGTTCTGCCACATAAAGAGTAAGCTACTTAGATGATAAATATACAGTCCTTATTTTTTTTTTTCATGGGAAATTTACATTCATACACAATTTGTTACTTATCTAACACCTAAAATCTGATATTTACACTTATAACATCAACCTATGCATGAAAGAATTTATTTCACTTTTAAAAAGATAGTGATGGTTGTATTTTTGATGCAATATTAAATATTTGACTGGTATGCATGTAAATATGAATGTTTAGGTGTTAGATATGTAAATAATAAGAATTATGTAGTATGCATGTAAATGCCCCTGCTTTCATTCATTTAACGGGTTCATATATATTTTTTATAATGGTTTAGTTTTTTGACTTTGTAATGGGTTATTGATATATCCATATAGGTACAACCACATTGGTTAACATGAATGGTTACCCTGTGATGATTTGGCTGGTTAAAATATAGTTTATAATTTTGAAACATCATGTTCTTTAGCTGTTAAGTAAGCTGATAATTTTTTAATATTGTTTCAACTATCGAAAATGAGCTGAACCTATTTTTGTTTGATTCTTTATTTATTTATTTATTTTTGTGTTAGCCATTTTTTATCCTAAGCGTGGATGAGAACGATGGAGAGTTGATGTTAGGTTGAAAACCACTTGGATGTTCCCCATGAGCGCTAATATATATCTTGATTGTTGTGAGAATTATATGTTTACTAGCACATCATCTATAGTCTTCACCCAATTTTGATGAAAAGGGGCAAGGTTGTCCAAAACCCGGCTTGCAAGTGACACGAAATAATCTAATTGTGATGAAAAATGGGTCAAGATTAAGTATAGTGTTAAGATGATATTTTTTTACATAATTTTTTTTTTATTTTAAACTTAATGACAAGTGAATGGGTGGGTACACTTATTTTAAGAAGAATTAATGTTGCTTGTTTGAAGGAAATTAAATGAAAGGAGAAAGTCTGAGAAATTTGAGGTTATTCATAAATTATTTTTTGTTAGAATGGCTAATGATAGAATTGCGGTTGGGATGCAATCAAATTATTGGGATGAATCAGGTTAACAATAGGAATGGATTCTCTTATTTTATATTTTGGTGAGGGCATTGTAATGGGATTAGTGCTCATGCTCCTAAGGTTGAATTAGAAGATGATTTGTAAATTTAATTTTAACAAGTGATGCTAGAAGTAGTATAATTTGTACATGTGGAAGGGGTGATAATTATTAGCGTGACTTAAGTGGACATACATGTTCCTTTTGGTTGGCTTGTGAAGAGGATTTAAGGGAAGCATGAAATTAGAGATGAAAATGCTTGATTTTATTGTAATTTTGGATCTTTGCAATAACAAGCACATAATTAAGAAATGAGAAGTTGTCTTAGTGATTGCCAAATTGTAAATAGTTTTTCTTATTTATTGAAAGAAAACTCTCTTTGCAGAGATTGTAAGGTGATTCCAAGAAAAAAATTGATTATTTAAGCTGTTGTCTTGATGTATTTCTTATGAGAATAAATACATTGATATTAAAAAAATAATTAACCATAAGATATGATTACTTGAAAAATTGAAAATTTAGTTGATCTTTCAAATTAGACTTATAAGAGAGCCAATTTAAAATTCTTAAGTTGAGCCCAAGTTGATGTTAAATAAGATGGACAATCAACTAAGAAGATTGTTTAAGCCAGTGTGATTGCTTGTAAATAGAAAACATGCTTTGGAAAATGTTGATTTACATTTTTCTCATTTTGAGTGTGAAATGAAAATCTTTATTTTGAAATTAAAGTGGGCCATAATTGCATTGAACTTAATGATGGATTGATCAAATTTCATCATTTTCCATATTATAATTTCAAACTTGAAGGTACCAAATGAGCTTTAAGTATACATAATAGGGTGATGAGGTACAAAAGATTAAAGAAAATAAACATGCTTTTAAAAATGTAAAAAAATAAATCTTATTGATATGTTATTAAAAAATTCACTTTATCAGAAATGAATCTTGATGTATAACTTCAACGGTCAAATTCAAAACCATATAATCTTTGATTTCAATAAATTTATTATCAAACTAAACATTTCAACAAGATGAATCTATCAACATTATAGGTGAACAAATATGAGCCCAAATCAAGTATTTGAATCATAATTAAAAATTTTGAGACATCAATTGTAAGATTGAATTATTTACATATCTTGCATATTAATATTGAGATTGAGAATCTCAATGACATGAATCTAATAAGCCTTATATTATTTGATTTTTACATCATCAAGGCTCTTAAACACTCCAAAAGCATCTTAAAATTAAGAGAATCACTTTGGATTGTCTTATGAATTGTCCTAAATTTTGGTGGTATTTACACGAGATCCTATTCTCAAATTCTATAAATAGATATTACTCTTTACATAAGGGAGGGTGGATGATGATTAGAGAGTGCTGAGATGCTTGGAATATCCTCGAGCTCTGCTTAATCATATCGTTGGATCATCGGTATCTCTCAACTGCCATAATACTGCTGTTGTCGAAGCACTTTGCATAAGCAGTCCATCTGTAATTTTGCCCAAAACTAACAATTTCCAAATATATGTCACTTGATGGGATAAAAGCTTGCAGTAATAGTAGTTGTTGTAACAAATTCCAAATGCATTAAAATTCATTTAGAGTGTTTATTTCAAATGCATTGAAATTTTACATTACATTTGTTTTTCTTTTGTCCAAGCATCAAGATTTCCAAAACCCTTGAATTTCTTTTGCCATACACTCTCAAATCCGCAAACCAAATAGCTTCTTAGAGATGAAGGAATTTACAAAGGATAAAAATAATATATTGAGAAAATATTAAACGAGAGTTTTAAGCAAGAAGTTATTTACAAAAAACATTAATAGCAGAATAATATGGTATATTATTGATTGTTCGAAGCAAGTAAGGTGGATTTAGTTTTGATTCACATTATAATATAGAGAGTTATGAGCATAAGCTTGGAAGTGTAAACTAGGAAAAAGGATGAAAAGACAATTTAAGTGCATTGAAGCTAGTCATATGGCTAAATCATTTTGTATTTCCTTCAATTAAGCTTCTAGATTACCTCCCATTTCTTTGTTGTTGTCTGTCTTCTTGACTGGCACTTTCTTGAATAATCATGCTCTATTAATGCAAGTTTTCCTTTTCAGCAGTCCTGGTAACTTATTTAATGAATCCTGATTCGAACCTTAAAAAGCCATTTCTATTCCCATCAAATATGTTCAGAGATAATTGTGTAAATTCTTGGCAGGATTCGTGAGCGATCAGAAGTCCATGTCCGTGGATGTCTTGAGGAAAGCAATCCAGGCAACAGAAGACGGCTTCTTATCTTTAGTATCTTCAGAGTGGTCACTAAATCCTCAACTTGCTTCTGTTGGCTCTTGCTGTCTTCTTGGAGTAGTTTGTGATAAAAAAATTTACATCGCTAACCTCGGAGATTCACGGGCTATTTTAGGGAGGCTCGTCAGAGCAACTGGAGAGGTTCTGGCTATGCAATTATCGCCCGAGCACAATGCATCAGTTGAGTCTGTTAGAAAGGAGCTGCAATTATTGCACCCTGAAGATTCACAGATTGTTGTACTGAAGCACAATGTTTGGCGTGTTAAGGGCATTATTCAGGTAATTTTTATCTATATACAGCCATTGAAACATATATCTGTTCTGAATATTTTCTTACAAGGATGTGCTATTGAACGGTTTTAATTGGTTTTTTGGTAATAAATGAAACAAGTGTCGAAATAATCCCTTGACTTTAGATTGGTATTTTTAATATTAATTGAAATAGTCTCTGTAGAAGACAATTTCAGCTCTAATAGTCGGGAGATTAATTTGGCACTTTTATAAACTTTGAGACTAAAATGACCTCATGTAAATAGTGAGGGGACTATTTTGAAACTTTACTCAGTAATAATTGCATGCCATGTATTGTTTGATGAAAGTTATACTATGATTATGCAGTCATTTTACATTATAATATGGACATCATTGTTATTAATTTGCATCTCTTAAACTCCAGTTCTATCTGATATTTCATATTATGACTCGACAATAGATGTTCGAAAATTTAGCTTAAGCAGGCATAGTGTTCGTTTGTAGATTTCCAGATCCATTGGTGATGCATACCTTAAAAAGGCAGAATATAACAGCGAGCCGTTGCATGAAAGATTTCGCCTGCAGGAAACTTTTAAAACACCGATACTTAGTGCGGAGCCATCTATATCTGTCCAAACCTTGCATTCTGATGATCAATTTCTTATTTTTGCGTCTGATGGGCTGTGGGAGCAGATTAGCAACGAAGATGCTGTTAGCATTGTGCAGAAAAATCCCCGTCAAGTAAGTTCATGATGCTGTTCTTGAATGATCTGTAATGAAATAAGTCTCAATTCTCCATTGCACCTTAAAATATAATAAATCATGAAGCATCATAGACTATTAAATACAATGCCACCATACGCTTTGGGCTTTGAACCACTCTGTAAATTTCAAAAAAATTGTTTTGATTATTGCAACATTTAGTGCAGAGGAAACAAATTTGTCCTTTGTGAAAGTTAGCTCATTTTCCACAAATCCCTGCAGGGAATTGCTCGGAGACTCGTGCTGGCCGCTTTACAAGAAGCAGCAAATAAGAGGGAGATCCGATACTCCGATATCATGAAGATTGGTCGAGGTGTGCGCCGTCACTTTCATGATGATATATCTGTAGTAGTTTTATATCTCGACTCCAATGTTGTAAGCGAAGCAAGCTCAGTTTCTTTAAAAGGGGGAGAAATCTCCCTTCCTGCAAATTCGGTCTCTGTTTGCAATGCCTATGGAGTTTAGTACCCCTTAATGAAGGCAAAATTTTATGGAGATTAGTGTAAATAAGTTTGTGCAAAAGCAATGCATTTCATATTGTGTAATGAATGCTTGCAAGATAGATGAATAGTTATTATCAAGTTATTGCAAGTTTAACCTTGTGATGTGTCGAATCTTTGTAGATGTATGAGTTGATTTCTAGCAATTCTTTCATTGTTCCATTCTTTCATTGTTCTTCTATTTGTCACTTATTATCACTTTTTTTACTAGTTGCAATTCCTTATATACTTCGTTTTATGGTCTAGCAATTCCTTATATACTATCTTTTCTTAATTTTAATTGCCCTCAACTTCCCAATCCAATTCTCTGTACTCATTTGCTTGCTTCTTGTTTACTACGGTTATAACCGGTTCAGATGAGAACAAGTTTATTGATTTCTAGCTTATGTTTAACCATGCCAACAAATTGTTTGTTTGACATGTCTGTAGGAGCTTTGAGTCTTTCTTAAATTTATTTATTTAATAAAATTTGCTTATATGAGAACTAAATGGTATATAGCTTGGAAAGATTGAAGTGGAATTGAAAATGCAGATGAAAAAAGGGATTCCATTACTATTAAAGAAATTTTATTAGAGATGAGTGTGAGTTCACCCTACCGAAAGCTTTGGGGCCTCATCCATCCATAATGATTTGAAAACCATTGTCCAAAGGGGATTTATAAATAGGGTTGTAAACGAGAAGCTTGAGTTGTTTGGCTCGTTCGAAAGTAATTATGTTTGAAATTGACTAGCGTTCGAAATTTTGCTAAAAAACGATGTATTCGTGTTCGGTTTGATTTATATATTTGTTCATATTCAGCTTGAAATTGACTCTTTTAAATCAATTAGAAAAATAGATGTAGAGTATTGGATTTGAATATGTAGTATTGTTATGCAATAAATAAAAAGTGTAAAATCATTTAATCACACAAGCTGTAAGGATTTAAATAGATATTAATATATATAAGTTTTTTATTTCGAGCTAAAATAAGCTAAACAAGATCGAAGAAAGTGTTGTTCATGTTCAACTTGTTTATAATTTGAACATAAAAGTTTTATTTGTTTTTGGCTTGCTTAACAAATAATTCGAACATGAGCTAGTTAATGAACCAAATATGAGTTGTTCACGAACAACAAGCTTTTTTGACAGCTCTATTCATAAACTATGTTGGTGTACCAAACACGAGTAATCTCTCTTCTTTTTTGACAGCTCTATTCATAAACTATGTTGGTGACTCAATTTACCAAACACGAGTAATCTCTCTCTAATCTCTCTTATATCAACTCACCCTTGAAACTTGTTTATGTTACAACTAAATGACATGATGTATATATATTTGTGCAGCTTATCTGGGTTAGTGGTTCATTAAGATTTTTAGTTCAAAGCCTAACACGAATGAGTTTGTGAGTTTTGTGAGTATTTAGATACGTACCTCCCTATTCCCATGAACTTACATATCTAACACCTAAATTTTAAGTTTTACGCTTAGACCCAAAATTTTCGCATCACATCAAAAATACCACAATTTTAACTTTTGACAAGTGATATGCACCTTTTCTTGCTTTAGTATGTATGTAAAATTTAAAATTCAGGCGTGCGCAGGAATTGAGCGGCATGCTTGTAAATCTTCCCAAATCATGGTGGTCAAATCACTATGATTTTTGGTGCAATAATTAGTGCTGAAAATTCTAATTTGCTAATATTGTATGCACGTGCTCATAACATTTTGTGGATAAAAATGTGCTGAAAACATGTTGATGTTATGAGTGGGAAGAGCATTGAGATCTTAGGGTTTCTTTGGGATCAATTTTGATTTTTATTTTATTTTTTATATATATTTACTTGAAATGAAATATGTTTCACATTATGCCACATTTCTCTCAAGCCATAGTCCAATTTGATTGCAAATGACTAATACATGTAATATTTATTGTTTTGGGGTGCAAATAATGCAAATTCAAGCTTATTAAAAATATATTCAGAAAGAAAGGAACATATTTCAACAGGAAGCAAGAAGCTTCATATGGATGGTAATCTGTTTCTTAAGAGAACAGTTCTGCAGCTATAATGGTCTGTTAAAATAGAGACCAGAAGGTTTAAGATATCCTATGTGATCTTGTTCAACCATTAAAGAACATTTATAACCATGAAAGCTGACTAAATCCAAGAGTCAACATTGTCAGGAATTTTTTTAGAAGAAGCATAAGCTTAAGGATAACTAAAAATCATTTTTTAAAAGCTATGGAATCAAGTTTTAATGTTTCCTGCAAACTTGAAAAATCATTTTGGATATCTCTAAATTTAAACTATTATTAATTTAATTTCTTTTGACATGGTTAGTAGTTAAGGAAAGATATTCATAAATTTGAATGAATTGATTTAGTTTGATGTGCAATAATTAGGACTAAAAACTCTTAAAGAGCATAATAATCAATATAATTTTGTTTATTATAGATTAATCCTAAAAATTATAGTGGGATTATTATTCAAGAAGGTGCATAAATGTAAGGCCTTTTATTAAATCTTGAGAGGATACATGAGTGATTCATCAGTTTCAGATATTGAGAGGATACAAAAATGATAGGTGTTCTCTAAGTTTCTATCTTCCTGTCTATCCAGAAATTAATAATCTTCCATTAGTTTCATTGGTTGTAAACCACTATCCACCTTTTATCACTCAAATTGAGGAACAGTGATGAAATTTCGAGCAAAAATTAAATGATGATGAGAAAATTTACAAGAAGGATTTTAAATATATGACACAAATTTACAGAATTGAAAAATATTCGTTATGTCTAAAACGGCATAGAGATTGAATATTTCATCAAGATTTACAAAAATTTTGATTTTTATTTTATTTTTTATATATATTTATTTGAAATGAAATATGTTTGATGTTATATCAGAGGCAGTCATGTATTCCAAATAATTTCTAAATATTTTTAATATTTTTAAAAACAAGTTAATTTTTGTTGAAGATAAAATAAAAATATGCAATATATATATATATATTAAACGAACATGTTTTTAAAATAAAAACGAAAATGAAAAACACATTTGATCTCAAACAAGCCTTACATATCTATTCTTTGTTGTTGTTTGCTGGCATTGTTTTATAAGTTCTTTATTGTTGATGGCTTATCTCCATTCAAATCCAGTGGTTTGACCTGGACAAAGTAGAAGGATTACATCATTAGATTAGGAATCAGCATTTAACAGAGCTTTCAGATTATGCCACATTTTTCTTAAGCCATAGTCCAATTTGATTGCAAATGACTGATACATGTAATATTTATTGTTTTGGGGTGCAAATAATGCAAATTCAAGCCTATTAAAAATATATTCAGAAAGAAAGGAACATGTTTCAACAAAAAGCAAGAAGCTTCATAAGGATGGTAATCTGTTTCTTAAGAGACAACAGTTCTGCAGCTATAATGGTCTGTTAAAATAGAGACCAGAAGGTTTAAGATATCCTATGTGATTTTGTTCAACCATTAAGGAAAATTTATAACCATGAAAGCTGGCTAAGTCCAAGAGTCAACATTGTCAGGAAGTTTTTTAGAAGAAGCACAAGCTTAAGGATAACTAAAAATCATTTTTTAAAAGCTATGGAATCAAGTTTTAATGTTTCCTGCAAACTTGAAAAATCATTTTGGATATCTCTAAATTTAAACTATTATTAATTTAATTTCTTTTGACATGGTTAGTAGTTAAGGAAAGATATTCATAAATTTGAATGAATTGATTTAGTTTGATGTGCAATAATTAGGACTAAAAACTCTTAAAGAGCATAATAATCAATATAATTTTGTTTATTATAGATTAATCCTAAAAATTATAGTGGGATTATTATTCAAGAAGGTGCATAAATGTAAGGCCTTTTATTAAATCTTGAGAGGATACATGAGTGATTCATCAGTTTCAGATATTGAGAGGATACAAAAATGATAGGTGTTCTCTAAGTTTCTATCTTCCTGTCTATCCAGAAATTAATAATCTTCCATTAGTTTCATTGGTTGTAAACCACTATCCACCTTTTATCACTCAAATTGAGGAACAGTGATGAAATTTCGAGCAAAAATTAAATGATGATGAGAAAATTTACAAGAAGGATTTTAAATATATGACACAAATTTACGGAATTGAAAGATATTCGTTATGTCTAAAACAACATAGAGATTGAATATTTCATCAAGATTCACAAGGGGAGGTGTACGAAGTAGTGGTGTTAATATTTGGCCCAACACAAAAATTCGGCTTGAATCAAACATACAAATTTGAGTTATTGTCATCCTGTGTGATATTTAGGTAGGTTTCAATTTGATACATCACGAATCTCGAGATATTTTTTGAGAAAGTAACATTAAAACTCATTAAAAATGATCTGGAACTATGATTTCAACAAGCTTACAGTTAAACTGACTGGTTTGACGAGGCACATCGAATGATACCAAAATTGCTCTAATACGAGTCAAATCAAGCCCGAATAAAGACATTAAATCACTTTCAAAAGGTTTGGATGGTCAATTGGAGGGTTAATGGATTTCAATTTGACGAGCTTATAGTCAAATCGAGTGCTTTGATGAAATAAATTCAATGAGTCTAAGATCAATCAATTTTGACATCTTTAAGACACCCAAATGTCTCAAAATATCATCTGATCAAAGGAATCGCTCTGGGCGGCCCATTGAGTGGTATGGATTCCTGCCTTATTTATAAGGGATGTCATTCCTAAAATCCATAAATAGATTCATACTCCCTTCATAGAAGAGAAGAAGACCTAGACCTAGAGCTGGACCTGGAGAGGGAGTTGAATTTCAGTGATGTACTGTATCGAAGATTCAACGAACACTCCCTGCTCTTGCAACCGCCTAACACCGTCGACCATCACTCATCGACTATGTCAACCACCATTGATTGCCCCTCGTTATTCGACATTGGTGGACCTTTCATAGTACCAACTCATGTTGCAACGAAGCACCTTGTGGAACCACAAAGTACATTGCAGTGTAACAATGCACCCTAAAAACAATGTAACGATGAATCTCAAATATGGTGCAATAACATACTTTGAATCCAGAGTAACAACATACCTGAATATGAGGTAATGGATAACATCGTATTAAATATCTGACAATAACTCTCGATGGCAATGACTTACAACTGTCATACCGAGAATATGAAGATTTTCTCCAAACTTGAGAAGTTCTCCCCTCGCAGCTTCCCCCAATGACATTGGTGGCTAATCGACGTTCTTACAACTCTCTACTACAACCTACCTTACCAACTACTGTCATTACAACCCTCCTCTACGACCCTTATGACCAATTAACGCTATCACAACTCACCACTAAGACTTTGCTTATTTAGTAACCAATGCACCTGTTGAGACCTTATTTTGGGATCCGGTAAGTGTTGCATGTTTATTCTATGTTTAATTATTTTCTTGAAGTTTTTGGAATTAATTTGATGCTCAATTTATTTGTCGATTTTTAATAGTTTAGGTATATTTAAACTATTTTTATGTGTAAGAAAATAAAACATTTCTTGTTAGATTTATCTTCCTTGAGGATATGGTACATCCTTATAAAAGAAAACATTAAAATATTGAAGAGTAGAAATGTGAAAAGAAGTGAAGTTATGCTGAAATGGTTAGTGGAATGGAATTCAGCCCTTTAGAACTTTACTGCAAATTAAAGTCACATTGAATAATTTAATTTCTTTATTATTTTATTTTATTTTTATATTCTTTCCACTTACAATAAAATTTAGGGGCTATGGATAAATATGAATATTTAGGTGTTAGATGTATAAATACATAAAAATTGTGTGGTATGTGTGTGTAATGTCTCTATTATTTTTGCCCAATGATATAAAGAAAGAGAAGCCTAAGTCTTATTGAAAGCTATATATTGCACTTTTATAAATCATAAATCAAAAGTCTTATTGACTATAAGTAAATAAATGTTACTAAATGTTAATATGTCCTTACATTGCCCTTAGAAATTATAAATTATTACTTCTTCAAAATATTAATTAATAATTATAATTTGAATAAATAAATCCTCTTGAGCATGACATTTAATTTTGCATACAATTAATTTGAATGAGAGGTTTAACAAATCAAACCAACTATTATGTTCATGTGAAGTAACTCTAATGCTAAAAGCAATAACTTTGCAACAATTGTAAACCAAATTAACAAAATATCTAGGGTTTTGAGTGTATGGTGGTTTGATAAAGTATTGAATATAGTCAATTACATTTAAATAATTTGGATGTCTTTATCTAACATTGAATGCCAAAGGGTACATACTAATAAGACAAACATTCCCTCAACAAATGCAAAAGTGAATTGTTCTCACAAAAGTTGACTTTATATTGAAGGTTTCAAGCATGCCATTAGTATTATAAATATAAATATTATCCTTCTATGTTATGTATAAAGGCTTGTGTTATAATATATTATATTCTTGCACTTTATTGTTTTTTTTTTATTATTTTACTTAACTTGATATATTATATTGTATTTGTCTAATTCTTCATATGTTTATATCAAGCCTTATTTGACTCTTTCCAAGATGACACTTTCTTTCCATCTGTATTTGGGAGTTATGTGTGGGAGAAACTCTAATGCATACAGAGTCTTTAATGTGTTTAGATTGTATTTAGATTTATGCAATTCACAATATTTATACATTTATCATGTCGCCTAATTCATTTCCAAGTTTCTGAATAGGCTGTTTAACATCTTTTATCATATAATTCATGCATTGATATTGAGCAGATAACTAATAATTCCCCAAATTATTTTCAAGCTTTCACATAAGAAGCCTGATGTACACCTCATAACATGATCCGTGAGATGTTAGTCAAAACACACCTAATAAATATCCTAGTCATGCATGGCTAATAAGTTATAACTTAGCAAATCTAACATTTGATCAAAAGTATGCCAAAATATGGATCTCTTAATGAATTTTCCATAAATTAATCACTTTAAGCATCCAAAGCCCCACAATTTGTGGCATCATGAAATTTCATGAGACTTAATGCAACTTTAGCTAAATACCCATGAAAGACTTATACTATAAACATTACAATCTAAAGTATATCATTGAATATTCATCATCTTCGTCAAGCATATAGGATATGATGGTCGACAAGTTTAAACAAGTAACATCCTTGAATTTCTCAATTGAATTACTCCTATCATGATACTAGAGATACCCTCTTTATCAAAAGATCTCTCTCTAATAATAACCATTTAGTTTCCTTTTCTTCGCCAAAACTCTCTCTGCTTACGTATCACATTTTATTTCTCGAATGCATCATACATTGATTAAAAATAAAGTAAGAAATCTTAAGGCGACATGATAAACTCCTCACCCTACCTGAAAAGAAAAAAAATCATATAAATTATACTCAACTCGTAAGTAATGACATTAGATTCATTTAAATGTAATTTAGTAACCGACTCTCTTTTCATTGAAGATGTCGGTGGTTATGGTTAAAATATAATTTTTTTTAGTTTGGGTGGTTAAAATGTTATATTTGATGTTTTGGGTGATTGATATGTAAAAAACCCTTTTAATTCAAAAAGAAAAGTGAAATACACCTTTTTCATGTAATGTAAAGTGACATATATATATAAATTAAAAATTTAGATATGTAAATACATAAGAATTAAGTGATATGCATGTAAATTTACCAAAAAAAACTCACATATATAAATGATCCATACGAAAGTTTTAGTAAAAAAGACATAAATCCAAATTATGCAATGAAATGGCTTGCAAAAGAAAAAGGGAAATAAATATAGGAAGATTTACATGCATGCCCCTCAACTCTTTTGTATTTATATATTTAATATATAAATTTTAATTTTAATACATATGCATATATATATATCAGTTTTTAGAGGCTAAATTTTGTTTTTTTAATAGTATAAAAGTTTTTTTAGTTTTCGTAAATATTATAATTATTGAAATTTATTTTCCCACCCCAACATGTTTATGGGTTATTAACATGCATATCACACAATTCTTATAAATTTACATATCTAGGATCTAAAGTTCTGTTATTATTGATATGTCAACAAGAAAATTTTATCATCCGACACGATTCTCAAGAATTTAGGACCTGAATTTAAGAAATCTATAGTCAAACTGCAAGTTCCAACTGTCATTCTACCAAAAATCAACAACTGTTTGTCGGCCAACGTTGACCACTTCCCATTAACTGCCGTCGACCATCACTAACCGCCCTGCATGTCGTCGCCCCTGCACACCGTTGCAGTGACTCCTACTTGTTACAACATATAACTTTGTGTTGAAGACCATGTGATAAATTCCAATCTTCGTAGCCGCTGACCACCATCGACTATCGTTGGTTGCCACCACATGCCATTGCAGATCACGGGGCAACCACCACTGCTTAAGATAGTCGTAACAATAATATGACGGTTGTACATAACACATTTATCTTTCTTTACGCTCTATGCTCATAAATGTAGTGTCCAATGTAAAACTGTGAACCCATTCAGAGAGAAAGTGTCTAATCATCAACTACAATCTTTGTGGTCAATTGATGCAATTGGAATCCACAACTAAGACTTATGTGACCAACTACTACTGCTATATATTTCAACTACAACGCATGTGATCAACTGACGTCATTACAATCACTAATGATGACCTTTTTGACCATCTACTACTATTAAAATTTTCAACTATAAGTTTTGTGACTAACTATTGCAATTATAACCAAGACCTACTAGAAGAACACGCCTATATACTTACAATTACATAATGAATCGCTTTAACTAGGCTAGACCTTATAGTTTTGTTCGATTCCCAGAATATTTTTATGTAAAAAATATCGATGTCTCGACTACTACTTTTCTATTATCTTTGTGTGTCTTGGATCTGAGTGCAGCACAAAGATGTTACAATATCATCCTGTCACCACAAATTTCTGGCACGCAACAACTGTATATATAACACTCAAATTTTTCATATCACATTAAAATTATCATTATTAACTTATAAAAATCTTTTAATGCAAACATAAAATAGCATAAATGTAAAAATTTAAAAATATGGTGTTAGATATAAAAAATGCATAGAAATTGTGTGGTATATATATAAAATCTTCTAAAATGATATTCTTAAAGACAAATAAATAATTCAATCCTAGAATTAGAGTTTGTGTATGCCATGAATATTATTAAAATTCAGAAGAAAATATTTCGTTTTGTGTATGCCATGAATATTATTAAAATTCAGAAGAAGAAAATATTTCGTTCAGTAAATCTAACATATGGATGATGACATGAATAACATTGTTATTTTATGGCATCGTGTGATCTACGTCATATTCATATAATGTCATGTCATATATTGATAGATGTTTGAAAAATCCGGCACTTGTTGTTGTCCAACAAGGGATGCAGAAGCCCAATGAAATGCGAGAAAATATTAGATGAGGACTCCTAACTTAATTTGCATTCGGGGTCCAATAACTTGTGTGATGTGTCCAGTGGGCCGTAGAGCAAAACGGTAGAACTTAACAGGGTTAAGTGGTGCTCCACTTCACCATTGGATTGGACTGAATGCATTCGGGAGTTGGAGTGCTAATGTAATAGGGAGGCACGAAATGCTATCCAGATCTAGACCACAAATGATCTCAAAGGAGGAAGATGAAAGTGGGGTTTATGAGGTAAAGAAAAAGTGGATTTCAGAAGTGTAGCGGAAGGTCGCCAGCGGAAAGCAATGTGGGCCGCGCCGACATATAGTGTCGCCACCGCCGCCAGCTTACCTCATCTAATTCGGAGAGATGGGTTTCTGTGCAGAGCGGAAGCAGCCAACCCAAACAATCTCCGGAAGAAAGTGGTGGTTATCGGTGCCGGCTGGGCCGGCCTCGCTTCAGCCCACCACCTTTGCAAGCAGGTCTGTGTGTGCGAAATAAAAGCAAAGTCATTCATGTTGTTTGATATGTATTCTTTATTACTTCCAGGGTATTGATGTCACCATTATTGACGCTCGGAGCTTTCCAGCCGAGGAAGTAACCCTCCGAGGTTAGCTGCTTTTCTATGCTTGTTGGTGCTATTCAAAGCCAACGGAATTGGATGTTTCATTGATCGTAAAAGTAGAAAGGTTAGAGTAATGGAAAGATGGGATTAAGTGCCGGTGGGAAAGATTAGGGTTTGTTTAACTACAAGTAGGATTTAATTCAAGTAGAGTTTAGTAAAACTTGTAATTTCATATTTTGTGAATCTCAGGGTATTAAATCTTCAAAATTGATTGGCATGACATTCTCTTAACTGTTAAACTTTCAAATGAATGGGAGAAAAGGGTGCAAAAATAGGATTCAACCATCTCAATACTTTTTTTTTTTGGACAAATAAAACTTGAACCTTAACTAAATCTTGCTTAAATTTGGCGACCAAATAACTCTTTAATGTGTAATTTTATTAATTTTTTTTTATGTTACGTTAGCTTTTTTGTCTACATGATATGTTGGATATGTTTACAAGATTTAATCTTCGGGGCACTCCAAAAACTTTTCAATTTGATGCAAATTGGACTTTTCTTTTCATCCCTTGTCCCAATTTTTTATGTTATCTTAGTAACTTTAGCAAGTCAACTATTCCATCTTATTTCAAATTTGTAAAACCTTCAATCTATAATGTGCTACTTATTTGCCTATAGACAATATTGCATATGACATCTTGGTTTAATTTAGGATATTTTGACTCAATAATTTATTAAGATATGCTCACATGTAAAATTTATGGTTATTTATTAAGATATGCCATTATCGGGTCCCAAGTTCTGGATGTGAAAAGAGGTAGTCGACGGAGAAGAAATTTTTTGTCGAAAAATCATGATATAAATCCTTTAAATCATTGTGTAAATGTTAGGACATCCCCTGAATGTGACGCGTTGTTTGACCTAAATATAGTGAAAAGCGTGCAAGGGCCACTACACCGGTGGCTGGGTCACCCGATGTAGTGTTAAATAAGCAAGGATTTTCACATTATAGACGGATGCGGGCAAAAAAGTTAGTCCATAAAAGTAATATTAGGATATTATTTTGGAATATAAATACTATGAACTGACAACTTAAGAGTATCGGGGGCAACAATCCCACTAAGGGTCGGCGAATAGCATTCAAGGATTTTCACATTATAGACGGATGCGGGCAAAAAAGTTAGTCCATAAAAGTAATATTAGGATATTATTTTGGAATATAAATACTATGAAAAGTAAATTAATGAAATTAATAGATATTATGGTTCATAGGAAGATAAATATCATATGCATTTAAGAAATTGATTCATAGGAAGATAAATATCTTATGCATTTAAGAAATTGAATGAGTTGAAGAAAAAAACTAAGGAGATTGATAGTATAAGCTTTAAAATTTGACATTCAGATATTAGTCGCACTAGAAATAGTGTAGATGTAATCATATGTGAGAGCTTGAAAAATGATGTTTTAAAAGTTAATATAATTATAGATAGAATTATAACCTTGAATATTATTATTGATACTAAGATTTTTAATGTTATACGTGTTTATGCTTCTCAAGAAGGTTTAGATATACTTTCACGAGAGAAATTTGTAATGACCTAGAAGAATGAATACTAATGATACATCTTGAATAAAGAATTTTTATTTTAAGAGATTTAAATGGACATGTTGGAAAAGCGGTAGAAGATTTAAGAAATATTTTGGTCGTTATGGTTTTGAAATGATTAGTGAAGAATGTATAATCATATTATATTTTGTTTTAGCTTATAATTTTTTTATTGCTAACACTTTACTTAAGAAAAGAGATAAGCATATAAGAACGGATCTAATAAAACACAAATTGATATTTTTTTTAATGAGAAATAAGAGGTTATCTAGAATGTAAAGATTGTACAACCATTCCAAGTGAAAATTTAAGTACTCATCATCGACTATTAATTCTAGATTTTAAGATAAAAAATTATAAGAGAAATAATACAATAAAATATCGTCATAGAGTTACATGAGGACATTTAAAAAAATGATTTTTTGTGAGTAAACTTCAAGATTTTAACATTTGAAATGTTCATGAAGAGTTAATTCTATGTCGGATAAAGTAAAAAACATTATTAAACAAGTGACAATAAATGTATTTGGAGAATCAAAAGAAAATTTTTAAATAAAAAAATTTTATAAATAAAATTAGTTGGTGGTGGAATAATATTGTGTGAAAAGTTAAAATATAAAAAGTTCTAAAAATTGGTTTAAATGTGAGCTTAGAGAACTAGGAAAAATATAAGGTGGCCCGTTTAGAGAACAATTTGTGACGTTAAGAATTTTGCATATAGTGATCTTTATAATAGATTAAATACTAAAGATGGTGAAAAATATATGTATAAACTAATAAAAAAAAAATAAAGGTAAAGATTTGATTTAAGTAAAGTGTATTACAGATGAAAATCAAAAATAATTTTTCTAAGAGAAAGATGTTCAACATAGGCGGGTGAGCTATTTTGATAAACTTTTCAACAAAGCTTCTGAAGATACGATCCACATTGGTGATATTAATATTGTTTGTAATAGTAAATTTTTTTATTTTTACCGTCTCATTAGTAAAAAGGAAGTTGAGGAGACTTAAAAAAATCAAAGGATTAAAAATTAATAGGATCTGATGATAGTAGGCGGGTGAGCTATTTTGATAAACTTTTCAACAAAGCTTCTGAAGATACGATCCACATTGGTGATATTAATATTGTTTGTAATAGTAAATTTTTTTATTTTTACCGTCTCATTAGTAAAAAGGAAGTTGAGGAGACTTAAAAAAATCAAAGGATTAAAAATTAATAGGATCTGATGATAGCCCTATTGAATTGTGAACATATCTAGGAGATTTTAGAGTTTATTTAAAAACTAAAAAAATTAATCTCTTTAATATTATTTTAAAAACTAAAAAAATCCAGATGAGGGGAGGAAGGGTAGTTTGGTCCCTATTTTTAAGAATAAATGAGATGCATAAGAGTGAACAAATTCTAGAGGAATTAAGTTGATGTGTCATACTTTAAAATTATGGGAGAGGGTACTTGAACATAGGTAAAGGCTTGTATAATGATTTCTCATATCAGTTTGGATTTATGCCGGGAAAGTCTACTATGGAAGCTATACATTTATTGAGAGGTTTAATAGAGATGTACAAAGAGATTAAGGAGGGTACTTATGATTTTTATTGATTTAGAAAAAGTTTACGATAGGGTTCTAAGAGAAGTTCTTTGGAAGAGTTCTAGAAAAGAAAGGCGTTGATATGATTAAAGATATGTATACTAGAGCTGTTACTTGTGCTCGAACAAAAGGAGGATTGATCAAGTATTTCTATTTATGTTGGATTACATCTGGGATTGGTTTTAAGCCTATATCTTTTTGCTTTAGTTAGGGATGCTCTTACTGAACATATATAGAAGGATGTACCTTGGTGAATAAGAGTAGAGAAGTTCAGGTAAAACTTTAATTTTGGAGGTCTACATTGGAGTCTAAAGGCCTTCATTTGAGTAGACCTAAAATCTAATACGTGGAATTTAATTTTAGTAATAGTAGCTCTAGTGAAAGAGTTGTAACTATGGGTGATCCAATCATTAAAAGGTGTGAACATTTTAGGTAACTCAACTCTATTGTTTAAAGTGATGGTGATATAAACGGGGATGTTATTAGTAGAATTCAGGTTGGTTGGTTGAAGTGGAGAAATGCATTAGGCCTATTGTGTGATAAAGAAGTACCGCTTAGACTTAAAAGGAGAATTTTATAAAATGTTGGTGAGACCTGCAATGCTTTATGATGCAGAATGTTGACCTTTAAAAGAGAAGCATAAAACAAAGTTAAGTGTCGTTGAGTTGAGAATGCTTGGTTGGATGAGTGGCTAGACAATTAGAGATGAAATGTGAAATGAATCTATTTGTGAAAGGGTTAGTGTAGCTCCAGTTGCAGACAAGATTAGAGAAAGTCGTCTTAGATGGTTTTATCACATTAAACATCGATCATTTGATGATCCAGTTTGGAGAATAGATGTTTTAGATTCAACTTATGTTAAGAACAACATAGGTAGACCTAAATGAACTTGGGCATATTGTATAAAAATGATCTTAATCTATTAGAATTAAATGAAAATTTGACACTTAATAGGACAAAATGGAGAAAAAAGATTCATGTAGCTGACCCCACTTAGTGGGATAAAATCTTCTTGTTGTTATTGTTGTTCATGTGTTATGATAAAAGAATATCACATAATTAATTATTTTAGATGATTTTAAACCAAATACTAGATTAAAGTCACCTCATTTTAAATCTCTATCAATATATCGAATGCATTGGGGTGCAAAAGGATTGAATCAAATGAATGAAAAAGGGGGGTGTTCATTGTATTATTGTGTGTGACCAATGACTGGATTGTTTTCCATGCAGTGCTTTTGCTCTAGTTTTGAGGGAAATTCATGAGTGATATTGTGTTTGGATAAAAATAGGAGGTTGGATGATATTAGTTTTAATTAGAAATGTTGGTGTGTTTATGTGTGAGGTTTTGTGGTTTCTTTCGTGGTTTGAAGCCTTAAAAATGGAAATGTTATTATGAGATTGTTTGGTGCTATCTCGATGCAATGCAGTTATGATTATGCTTGAATTTTGAGATGAGTACATTCACTTGCGAGATGGTACTCTTTTGGAAAACTTTAATGAGTACTTTTTAATATTAGTTACATTAATTTGTTTTTTTTTTATAATCTCTCCTGTTATTTTCTTTTTATTTTCATAAAGAGGTTTGTGGCTTCTATTTTGTGATAGAATGGGTGTACATAAATTTGAAAAATGACGTCTTTTTGCTTTTTTTATTTTTACAAATTTGGCTTCATATAGCAAATAAATTTCAATTTCATTTTTTTAGGAAATAAACATACTTTCATGTGGCGTTGTCTCTTTTATTATTAGCAGGACCCATAAAATGTTGCTTTCTTGTGGTACTGTCTCTTTTATTATTACTTTTCTTATTCATTATTATTTTTTTTATTAGAGCTTCTACATA